GGGACAGACAGAATTGTTACTGAGTGCCCTAGAGAATTGTTAACTCTCTGGGACAGACAGAATTTGTTACTGAGTGCCCAGAGAGAGTTGGTTACTCAGGTACAGACAGAATTGTTTTCTGAGTGGCCTAGAGGAATTGTTATATCCTCAGGGTCAAGACAGAGGTTGTTGCACTGAGTTGCCAGAGGAATTGTATACTCGCACAGAGGACTGACAGAATTGTATTACTGAGTGCCAGAGGAATTGTTACTCAGCACGACTACAAAATGTGGTTACTTGCAGCCAGACACAGATTTGTTACTCAGGGAACGTGACACAGAATTGTTTACTGAGTGCCAAAGATGGGTGTTACTTAAAGGGCCACAGAAGATATAAATTGTTAGTGCACAGGACACAGAATTGTTACTTCAGTGATCGAGAGAATTGTATCAGCAAGACAGACAGAATCGGCAGACTGAGTGCCATAGAGAATTGTTACTCGGGAGTGCAGACACAAGAATTGGTTCGCTTGCACAGAACACAGAATGTTACTCGCACGGTGAGACACAGAGTAATTGTTCACACTCAGCGGCCACATATGTTACATTGCTCAGGGACACAGAGAATTGTTTACTCTAGTCGCCCAAGAGAGACAGTATGGTTACTCAGGACAGACAGAATTGTTACTGCAGTGACCGAGATGAATTGTTACTCAGGGCCCTAAGAGATAATTGGTTACAGCGAAGTGCAAGAGAATTAGTGTACTGATGCCAGACACAAAAATTGTACTACAGGTCACAGACACAGAATTGTTTACTCGCACAGGCCACAGAATTGTTACTCGCACAGACACAGAATGGTTGACTAGGGCACAGTCACAGAATTCATACTCAGGGACAGACAGAAGTTGTTACTGCAGGAGCCAGAGAACTTCAGTTACTAGGGGGACAAACCTAATCGTTGAATTAAATAGTATGTCAGCACAGACATGTACTCTGGAGTGCAGAGCGAGGCAATTGTTACTGAGGAGCGAGCAGAAATGTGTTACTCTCAGACAGAAGGGTCGAGGCGGGCATAGCAAAGATGTTTCTTCAGCCAGAGGCCAGTGTCCCGGTGTAATCCAGCGGTCGTGTTTCCACCGACAACCCTGCCGTCTTTGAATTGGTTGGCGGTGTCTTCTTCCTTTCACAGAATTCACCTCTGACACCTACCAGACCAACGGTAGAATTGGATACGTCATGACACAGAATGTTAGTCATGGTATCAACAGGCCCGGTTACTGAGTGCCCAGATGAAATGTTTACGTCGTCCTCTGACCTGCCACAAATCTTGGTACTTGCTCCCTCACCAAGCGAAGTATCGCTATTGCTGTGGGCTCAGCCACCACTGTTACAGTGAGGAAGAGCTAACAGAGGGCGGTCGGTACGCAGGGACAGTACAGAAAAGGTTAGCAGCAGCATTGCGAAGAATTGTTTCTCAGGCGAGGTGAGTGGAAGTCGGTTAGCGAGGTCTAGAGACATGGTACTGTCACTCCTGACAACAAAGGCGTTAGCTTCACAACACGGATTGTTAGTCGAGGCGGAGACCCTAACTTGATGTACTGAGGCCCACAGAATTCGCTACTTGGCATGCCTCGTCGTCATCAGGCAATTTGAACTGTCCGCATGCATCAGGAGAACGAGGGTTGGCTGCTTGGCAGAGAGACAAAATGACTGTCGAGTGGGTTTGCCAGGAGCCCTACAGCAGCAGGGTCGCATCATTGTGTCTGTGGAGGATACAATCGTACGAGTAGAGCACTGAGCTCCCACTGCGAGAATTGATTGACTTTCAACCAGGCCCAGTTGTGGTGCGGTGCGCACGGAAGGAAGTAGCAGTCAGCCAGTGAAGAGTTAGTGTGCAAAGTTTCCCTACTCGGTGGTGTGGCAATTTTTCTCTCAAGGGCGCACGAGAAAGACAGACTCCACGACAGTTAGGGAAGGTTGTGGACTGTGGGACAGAAATGAGAAGCGTGGGTTGGTGGTGGGTACTCATGTTGGGAGACTACAGCGTTGCGTCAAGCATATGCGGCGTGGAGCCCAGAGTGTTCGGGGAGCTGAGAGACTAACGCTATCATACACTAAATGAGGATGATAGGTTCTGCATCCCCAGCCCGGCTCCATCACAAGCTCGATACTTGGCTCCGTCACCCTGACGGCGTCAGATCACACTCATACGGTGGTGCACGCAGAAGGCTCAACACCTTTAGAGAATGGGTACTGTGTCGCTCCTATCATCGAATCTGTCTTGAGCGTTTGTCGTTCTGTACTGATGCTCCAGAGAATCCTGCGATACTCCTCTTGTATCGCGACAGATTCCGATCATTCAGTCTTCTTGGACCGCTGGCCGTTTGCCACGTACACCTCGACCTCGCATACTTACGTATTCCTATGCAGAAATTGTGCCAGCCAGTGTGGCCTGTACGGTTCAAGAGCTGATACGACGCTCAGAAAACATTTGCTTGTGCTGCCTTCAACCTCCGCGTTCATTTTGCAACTGGTCTAGAGATCATGCTACCTTGGAGTACGAGAAGCCCACTCTTTGTGGCTAAGCGACTGCTGACGGCCTTCGGATTGGGCGTACTGTCACGAGTGCCAAGCCCGCCCACCATTTCTACTGCCCACGTGCAGTGCCTAGTAGTAGATTGCATACACTCAGCATATAGACGAGATGGTGCACTGTGTGCCAGAGTCTTGTGAATCTCTCTCTACTCACAATACGGTAGAGGCTATTGCACTGTCACAGAGCTTTGTAAATACCCTTGGTCTAGAGCACACAGTACATTATCATTACTTGGGCCACAGAATTCACTATGGGACCAACATGACAATGTGGTTACAAAAGACAACGCCATCCTGTAACTTAACATTGAGGCGGACAGGTCACGACGCTTCTTGCCTCCACGTTTGCCAGTCCTTGGTCCAGCAAGCATGTCGGGGGACTCGTGGCCACCTCTTTGTTATAACGCCGTGTCCCTCAGCCGCCACCCCCGTGCCAAGGGCCCATTACCCTCGACCGGCATATCATAAATGTGCAGGTGGCAAACGGTGTCCACGCTGTGCTGACACTGGTATGCCTTGGTGCACGAAAGTAGTCACACAACTGGGGGAGCTCGAACCCTGCTCCTAAGTGTTAACCTGATACAGAGAAATGAACTGACAGAGTGGCTGTAGAATCTCCGGCGCCAAACTAAAAAATCGGCCGCCAGAAATGTTGTTGGACGGACAACGGAAACAACTGAAACTGAAGTGTCTGGTCTGTTTCCAGTGCGTCAAGGCTAAGGTTGTGCCCATGCGCCATGCATGGCTCACGTTTTTGTTCAATCTGGTTGTTTCAAGCGGCAGTCTAAAATCACGTCCCACTGCAAGACATCCCTTAAAATGTCACGTAAACGTGTGCATGCATTTCAGCCATTCCTAAACCGCAATAAGAACACATCCCTCATTGAGCTGCAGCTGGCAGAAACGGAATACTCCACAGAATCGACATGATCTGCGACGTTGCAACAAGGTGGAATTTCAACCCCTACACATGTTGAGACAGCCACCATTTACGAGCATGCGAAAGGCCATCACCGATTTCCTGATGTTTGCGGATAAAGGTACTCCCCTGTGTAAACTTAGTGTCCTCCATTGGACAGCTCGTCATGAGTGACACTGCCCTTGCTCAGGCCCTTTGAGGAGGCCCACGACTATTCGTGAGTCGGCAGGCGACTCATGGGTTGAAACGACGTCTTCCTCTGTTTGCACGTCCTGGAACAAAATGCTGTTACCTAGGCAATGGCTGTCAGGGTTGCGGTCTGAGACGGTGGCGCACAGATGTCAACGCCATGTGACCCTGTTGGGGACAGGACAGGGCTCTTCTCACTGAGGAGGAGAGTAGAGGAGGACATTTGGGGCTGGATCAGAGATTTATTGAGTGAATATGGGTGGTTTTTCCAGATCAGCCGGACAGGACGTGGAGGAGCAGGTGAGCCCTATCCATGCGGCCCCTTTAGAGGAGGAGGAAAGGAGGAGACGACAGAGCCTCAGGGTCCCAGACGCACCGTTGGCCAAGTCCAGAGTGCTGTGGAGATGGAGACGGGCAGGGAGAGTCCTCGCATTTCCTTCGGCCAATGCAAATGGCCCATTAGCCATGCTCGGTTGCTTGCGTATGCGACAGGCCTCGAATAATATACGCTGTCAGACTGAGGGAAGACTTTTGGCTGTCCACATTGGCTGGACCCTGAGTAGACGGTCAAAATGGTGGCCTGCCTTCACTCCTGCTTCAGAGAGGGAGGCCACTAATTTGCCATGATTGTACCTATAATAAACCATTTCCTTGTTGCTGTAGTCAGTGTTGGTGCTCTGCCTTTGAATGGCGCAACGTCCATCCTCAGACACTGCTGGGCTCCTGTACGCTGCGTTTCTGACGCTGGGCCATGGGGCAGCAGGGGAGGGGCTGGGGGGTAGGAGCAGTGGCATGCTCACACAGCAGTGGCTGCCTCAGTCTGCAGTCGATGATGCGGAGTAGCTTTCTGTCACCAGCGCAGTGAGCGAAAAACTACTAACCAGCCGCCATTCGTTCAGAGCAGCCAGCAGCATCAGGTGGACCTGGAGCAGGAGATCAAACAAGGCTGTCTTGGGCCTACCTTAGAACAGCACTGCCTGGCAACCGGGAGGTAGACAATCCCCTTGACTACTGTGGCAACGAAACTTGGACTTTACGCCCCAAGTGCTAGCTGAATTTGGTGCCCTTGAAAGGCTTTGACTATATGCCCTGGCAGGTCCAGTAGCGTGGCCCATCATCTGAGCCAGGACCCGCTAGTCGGCCAGGTATTTGTAACTCCGCGGAGGACACGACTGTCCACCTCAAAAGTGTGCCAGAGACTCACATAGTTTGTGAAAATGAATCAGGCGTCCCTTTGTCGGCGATTTCAAACACCACAAGTTGCTGACACAACTGATAAATGTCGCCATGCTATCATGCTCTCACTCTGTTTTGTAGTGCCACTTTCAGGTCTCGTCACACACTGCTGGTGTGTTTACAATTTTTGACATAGGGTGCAGGACAGATTACGGGCCTCCACTATAGCTGCTGCCCAGGCCCCTAATCTGCCATGGCCCCATATATACCGCTTCCTCATGCTAGCTGCCAGTGTCCAGAGTCTCTCATGGGTCCCTGTACGGCCTCCCATTGCTGCTGTCTCCATCGCCACACTCTGCTGCCATGTGCCACTTTCAGGTCTCTTCACACTGCTGGGTGTGTTTAATTTTTTGACATTAGGCGTGCAGGTGGCAGATTACGGGCCTCACATAGCTGCTGCCAGGCCCCTAATCTGCCATGGGCCCCTATATACCGCCTCCTCATGCTGCTGCCAAGTATAGAGTCTGTCAATGGGGTCCCTGTAGTACGGCCTCCCATTGCTGCTGTCTCCATCGCCACACTCTGCCATGTGCCACTTTCAGGTCTCTTCACACTGCTGGTGTGTTTAATTTTTTAGGACATAGGGTTGCAGGCAGATTACGGGCCTCACATAGCTGCTGCCAGGCCCTAATCTGCCATGGGCCCCTATATACCGCATCCTCATGCTGCTGCCAAGTCTTGAGTCCAGAGTCTGTCATGGGTCCCTGTACGGCCTCCCCCATTGCTGCTGTCTCCATCGCCACACTCTGCTGCCATGTGCCACTTTCAGGTCTCTTCACACACTGCTGGTGTGTTTAATTTTTTGGACATTCATAGGGTGCAGGCAGATTACGGGCCTCACATAGCTGCTGCCAGGCCCCTAATCTGCATGGGCCCCTATATACCGCCTCCTCATGCTGCTGCCAAGTCTAGAGTCTGTCATGGGTCCCTGTACGGCCTCCATTGCTGCTGTCTCCATCGCCACACTCTGGCCATGTGCCACTTTCAGGTCTGCTTCACAACTGCTGGTGTGTTTAATTTTTTGACATAGGGTGCAGGCAGATTACGGGCCTCACATAGCTGCTGCCAGGCCCCTAATCTGCCATGGGCCCCTATATACCGCCATCTCCTCATGCTGCTTGCCAAGACTAGAGTCTGTCATGGGTCCGCCTGTACGGTGGCTCCCATTGCTGCTGTCTCCATCGCCACACTCTGCTGCCACGTGTGCCACTTTCAGGTCTAGATGCAGATATCACACTGCTGGTGTGTTCCATTTTTTCCACATAGTGATGCAGGCAGAATTACGGGCTTCCTCATTGCTGCCAGGCCCATAGATCTGCACTATGGGCCCCTAATACCAGGGCCCTCACTGCTGACTGCAAGCCTCCTCGATCTCTACATGCCCTGTACGTCCCAAATTAGCTGTCTCTTCGCACTGCCACCCTACTCTGCTGCCCTATGTGCCGTCCACCCCTTTCAGGTCTCCTCACTCACTGCATGGTGTGTGTTAAATGTTTTGTCACTTGGGTTGCTGGGCAGATACGGGCGCCTCCATAGCTGCTGGCCTCCATCGCCCTAACTCTGCCATGGGCCCCTTTTATACCGCCTTCCTCATGCTGCTGCGAAATTCAGAGTGCTCTCATGGGTACCTCCATAGCTGTACCAGGCCTCCTCAATTGCTGCATGTCTCCCATCGCCACACTCTGCTGCCCCAAGTCCAGAGTCTTCATGTGGTCCACTTTCGGCCTCCATTGCTCTTCACACTCTGCTGGACCACTGTGTGTTTCCATTTTTTGACATACATCAGGGGTGCTTATTTTTTGGCAGATTACGGGCCTCACATAGCTGCTGCACAGGCCCCTAAATCTGCCATGGGCCCCCTATATACCGCGTTCCTCATGCTGCTGCCAAGTCCAGGACTAGAGTCTGTCATGGGTCCCTGTACGGACCTCCCATTGCTGCTGTCTCCATCGCCATCACTCTGCTGCCATGTGCCACTTCTAGGTCTCTTCAACACTGCTGGTGTGTTTAATTTTTTTGTCATAGGGTGCAGGCAGATTACGGGCCTCACATAGCTGCTGCCAGGCCCCTAATCTGCCATGGGCCCCTATATACCGCCTCTCATGCTGCTGACCAAGTCCAGAGTCCTCTCATGGGTCCCTGTACGGGGCCTCCCATTGCGCTGCTGTCTCCATCGCCACACTCTGCTGCCATGTGCCACTTTCAGGTCTCTTCACACTGCTGGTGTGTTAAATTTTTGACCATAGGGTGCAGGCAGATTACGGGCCTCACATAGCTGCTGCCATGGCCCCTAATCTGCCATGGGCCCCTATATACCGCCTGTGGACCTCATGCTGCTGCCAAGTCTAGGTCTCTCATGGGTCCCTGTACGGCCTCCCATTGCTGCTGTCTCCATCGCCACCACTTGCTGCCATGTGCCACTTTCAGGTCTCTTCACACTGTGGTTATTTTTGTGTTTAATTTTTTGACATAGGGTGCAGGCAGATTACGGGCCTCACATAGCTGCTGCCAGGCCCCTAATCTGCCATGGGCCCCTATTACCGCCTCTCATGCTGCTGCCAAGTCCAGAGTCTCTCTCATGGGTCCTGTACGGCCTCCCATTGCTGCTGTCTCCATCGCCACACTCTGCTGCCATGTGCCACTTTCAGGTCTCTTCACACTGCTGGTGTGTTAAATTTTTTGAATCATAGGGTTGCTGGCTAGATTACGGGCCTCCCATTGCTGCTGCCAGACATGTAATCTGCCATGGGCCCCCGTACCGACTCCTCATGCTGTGACGTTGAGCAACAAGGTGTAATTCAACCCTACATATGTCGCTGTTAGACCGCCTTTACGAACAGCCTAAAGGCCATCACACTGCTGGTTGTTCCTTGATGTTAAAAGCGGATAAGATAATGGTTCACAGGTTCCCTGTGCCTAACTTAGATTGTCAGGGCCATTGTCAGCTCATGTGTGACACCTGCGCTTGCTCAGGCCCCTTTTGGAGGCCACGCTAATTCGTGAGTCGGCAGGACTATGGGGATGAATGAGGTCAAATCGGCCATGGGCCCCCGTACCGCCTGTTCACGCTGATGCTGGTCCCACAGTGTGACCTGGGTCCCTGTACGGTGCCTCCCATGCTGGGTCCACTCTGCATGTGCCACTTTGAAATCTCCTCACACTCCTGCGGTTGTCCATTTTGTCATAGGGTTGCTGGCAGGCTCCCTACATAGCTGCAGCCACGCCCGTTCCATAGGTGCACCTCAGCTGCTGCCATATCGGCCATGGGCCCCCGTACCGCCTGCTGTCTCCCTTCGCACCTGCTGCTGGGCCCACAGTGTGACCTGGGTCCTGTTACCGCCTCCCATTGCTCCCACTCTGCCATGTGCCACTTTCAGGTTCTCCTCAATCTGCTCTGCTGGTTTCCATTTTGTCATAGGTTGCTGTTGGCCTCCCATTTCTGCTGTCTCCACCGCCACACTCTGCTGCCATGTGCCACTTTCAGGTCTCTTCACACTGCTGGTGTGTTAAATTTTTTGACATAGGGTGCAGGCAGATTACGGGCCTCACATAGAGCTGCTGCCAGGCCCCTAATCTGCCATGGGCCCCCCACTATATACCGCCTCCTCATGCTGCTGCAAGTCCAGGAGTCTCTCATGGGTCCCTGTACGGCCTCCCATTGCTGGCTGTCTCCCATCGCCACAACTTGCTGCCATTGTGCCACTTTCAGGTCTCTTCACACTGCTGGTGTGTTAAATTTTTTTGACATAGGGTGCAGGCAGATTACGGGCCTCACATAGCTGCTGCCAGGCCCCTAATCTGCCATGGGCCCCTATATACCGCCTCCTCATGCTGCTGCCAAGTCCAGAGTCTCTCATGGGGTCCCTGTACGGCCTCCCTATTGCTGCTGTCTCCATCGCCACACTCTGCTGCCATGTGCCACTTTCAGGTCTCTTCAACACTGCTGGTGTGTTTAATTTTTTGACATTGGTGTGCAGGCAGATTACGGGCCTCACATAGCTGCTGCCAGGCCCCTAATCTGCCATGGGCCCCTATATACCGCCTCCTCATGCTGCTGCCAAGTCTAGAGTCTGTCATGGGTCCTGTACGGTCTCCCATTGCTGCTGTCTCCATCGCCACTTTCTGCCATGTGCCCTCTTTCAGGTCTCTTCACACTGCTGGTTATGTTTAAATTTTTTGACATAGGGTGCAGGCAGATTACGGGCCTCACATAGCTGCTGCCAGGCCCCTAATTCTGCCATGGGCCCCTATATACCGCCTCCTCATTTGCTGCTGCCAAGTCCTTGAGTCTCTCATGGGTCCCTGTACGGCCTCCCATTGCTGCTGTCTCCATCGCCACACTCTGCTGCCATGTGCCACTTTTTCAGGTATCTTCACTCTGCTGGTGTAGTTAAATTTTTTTTGACATTAGGGTGCAGGCAGATTACGGGCCTCACCATAGCTGCTGCCAGGCCCCTAATCTGCCATGGGCCCCTATATACCGCCTCCTCATGCTGCTGCCAAGTCTAGAGTCTCTCATGGGTCCCTGTACCGGCCTCCCATTGCTGCTGTCTCCATCGCCCACACTCTGCTGCCATGTGCCACTTTCAGGTCTCTTCATCACTGCTGGTGTGTTTAATTTTTTGACATAGGGTGCAGGCAGATTACGGGCCTTCACATAGCTGCTGCCAGGCCCCCTAATCTGCCATGGGCCCCTAATATACCGCATCCTCATGCTGCTGCCCAAGTCTTGAGTCTGTCATGGGTCCCCTGTACGGCCTCCATTGCTGCTGTCTCCATCGCCACACTCTGCCATGTGCCACTTTCAGGTCTCTTCACAATGCTGGTAGTGGTGTTTAATTTTTTGACATAGGGTGCAGGCAGATACGGGGCCTCACAATAGCTGCTGCCAGGCCCATAATCTGCCATGGGCCCCTATATTACCGCCTCCTCATGCTGCTGCCAAGTCCAGAGTCTCTCATGGGTCCCTGTACGGCCTCCCATTGCTGCTGTCTCCATCGCCCTCACACTCTGCTTTACTGCCATGTGCCACTTTCAGGTCTCTTCACACTGCTGGTGTGTTAAATTTTTTGTCCATAGGGTGCAGGCAGATTACGGGCCTCACATAGCTGCTGCCAGGCCCCTAATCTGCCATGGGCCCCCTATACCCAGCCTATACCGCCTCCCTCCATGCTGCTGCCAAGTCTAGAGTCTCTCATGGGTCCCTGTACGGCCAACTCCTCCCATTGCTGCTGTCTCCATCCGCCACACTCTGCTGCCATGTGCCACTTTCAGGTCTCTTCACACTGCTGGTGTGTTTAATTTTTTGACATAGGGGCTGCTGGCAGATTACGGGCCTCCACATAGCTGCTGCTGCCAGGCCCCTAATCTGCCATGGGCCCCTATATACCGAGACTCCTCATGCTGCTGCAAGTCCAGAGTCTTCATGGGTCCTGTTGTTCGGCGCGTCCCATTGCTGCTGTCTCCATCGCCCACACTCTGCTGCCATGTGCCACTTTTTTCAGGTCTCTTCACATGCTGGTGGAATGTTAAAATTTTTAGACATAGGGTTTGCTGGCAGATTACGGGCCTTCCCATTGCTGCTGCCAGACTGTAATCTGCCATGGGCCCCCGTACCGAAGTCT